TGAGTAATTATAAGTATTATAAGTAATTCTCAGACTACTGTCTACCTGACGACTTTTTCTACAAGAAACAGCCGATATACATGCTGAAAGCAAGAGTAGTTTCTAAATTTTTTGATTAAAAAATCAAATAAAAAAAACTTTTATTTATTTATTTTTTACACAGCACTTTGCTTTAAAATTCAACAAATATATATATATATATATATAAGTTATGTTTGTTCACATAAAAAAAAATATATATAATTCTTCCAAACAGCAAAGACGTGAATCTCAGCATCCGGAGAAAACGTCCCGTCTGCTGCTGATATGAGGAGCTCACGCAGTGATGAATGTCTATTTGTGAAGCTCTTGTTCTTGTAAAGTTCATCCTGTGGCTTGTTTTCTGTTCATCTGATGGCAGCGTAAGTCACTGTATCATTATGATCCTGAAAGAACTGCACAGATTTTCTCCATCAATGCCATTATTACTATTAGCGCATGAGCTTTATTAATCTGACACTCAGATTCAGAACTACATTTCAGCAGCATATAGATGAACAAAGCTTCTCTGAAGCAGTCAGTGATGAAGAACAAGGGAATGTGCTGCTGTCTACTCACACTGAGCGATTTTACTGGCTTTTTACTGGAAGAAGAGACTTCAGAGTAAGTCACATCATCTGTCTGCTCCTAAACATACATGCAAACGTGCAGCGATTCAAGTTTAATTCACAGATCAGACATATCTCTCACTGTAATACGTACAGTAATATGACCGCTTTCAGTCAGTCACATTATAGAACAGACAGTGAACTGAATGTCTAATGGTTTATTTGACTCACATTGTCTCTCGCAGCAGCAGGAGTGGACATGGTGATCTTCTCATACTCTCCTTTATCTTCATTCTCATCTTTGACTTTCAGACAACAAACAGTTAAAACTGCACTTTATTGAGCTGTGAAGACAGAAATCAAATATAAATCACTGGCATTACTGAACTCACCGACGATCCATCAGTCCATCTATTATTATCTGAAAAAAAAACCTGCCTCATATGAGTATTTATGATGAAACATGCAAAACACTGAATGTTTACAATGCTAATGATATTCAGATTTCAAGACCATTCAATTGAATGATAGAAATTATTATTCTTTAAACACATTTTGAGATTGACATTACAGGAATAAACTTCTGTTTGAGAATCTCATAGTCACATAATCCACATGCTTGATACATACAATATCAACTTCATGTGCTTGTTTGCTCTTCATCAAAGTGAGATCTAAACGGTTTTAAATTTTTAGAAAGGAGGAAATCTGAAAACTCACCAGCTCTTTTTCTCCAGATCAGCCAGAGAACAGCAAGAAGGACAACAGTGAATGCAGCGGCAGACACAGAAATCACTGTGACTGAAGAAGAGATCAACATAGTCAGGGATTGATGACTATTAGAGTCTAAATAAAAGCATCATCAATGGCTTAAAATCAGTAGAACCTTGATCTTTAGAAGTTTCTGATGATGTTGTAGTTGAGGGATCCTGAGAGTTTGTGATGTGGACTGGAATCACTGCTGTCACTGTTTCAGCTTGAACTGTAAAACATGAATTTCGGTTTATTTTTGGGACACGCTTCAGGAAGAAGTCTGTGGCAAGCATATTTTGTTTGTTTTCTTTATTTTACAAAAGTAGGGCATTTTACTGTTATTTTTGAAGGTACACCAATAAAAATAAACCCTTTGCCATTTTGAATGTCTTGACATCGAAGCCTCTTCATCATTAAACTAAACTAAACAGAGAAGTGATTCAGTTACTCTGTTTAATTTTGTTCAGTAGCCCGTGCTGGTCAGCGTGAGCATTCGTGCTCTTTTTCCAAACACATATTTTATGCATGTGTAGGATGCTGTTTTAATTTGACATTGGGACACAAGAGAAGTACGAAGCTTCTTTACATCATAAAAAATAGCTTAGAAACCCAATGTTCCACTAGAATAACGATTCAATCATGAAAACGATTCATGCCGAATGATGAGATGTTTGGTGAGCAGTTTCAGTTTCGCTTTTACACTAGACAATACATGTCTATGTGTGTGTGTGTGTGTGTGTGTATGTGTGTGTTTCTCTCAACAATACAAGTTTGACCTTGTTTGACTTATTTTCCGAAAAATACGGCACACTGCAAATACAATAGATACCGTTTGCACCAAAAAAAAACAAAAAAACATGTTCAACACTCACAGCCACAGTAACTTTAGCTTGAATCACTGTTATAGCCTCTGCAGTAGAATATGACCATCACAATTTAACTTTGATCATCACATTACATAATAACTTGCTCAAGTCAAGTTTCAATTTCTTCATTATTCCCAGCAGCAGTTTTTGGACTGTTAAACTTGACTGCAGTTCATTAGTTTGCAGCAGTGCTTTGAGTTTCTTCTGTCAGACTGAAAGAAGCTTTTGTACCGCAGTGTGTTCTTCTTCAGTGATATTAACAGACTTTAGTGTTACTGACATTATGACGGTCTAAAACTGATTAATAAGATCTCTCTCTTTCTCACCTGAACTCTTGACAGTGTATGTGACTGAGCTCTTGACTTGATCTCTGTGAGTAACTTCACATCTCCACTCTCTGTTGTGATCTTCATTCAGGAGTGTTGTATTCAGAGTGATGATACAGTGATCTGATGAGGATAATATCTGATATCTGGAGTCTGATCTCGTCAGTTTAACACCAGTCTGATTCACCCAGAACAGCTCAATTATCTCAGAACTGATCCAATCATCACAAGAGACTCGAGGATATGAATACAACTGACAGAAGAGAGTCACAGAGCGGCCTGCAGTGATCTCAGTCTGTGAGGATGAGGAGGAGGATGAAGAGACTGAAACACAAAATAACACACAAATCACAGACTCTTCAATCATCATGGGAGATTAAATGAAGAATTTAACTTTTTAAATTGACCACATAATCATAAAAATACCATGAAGAATATGCAGAAAAACACGAGCATCAGGTCCTTGTAGCTCTCCATTCACATATTGTCTGCAGCTATAAATGCCATAATCTTCTTTTGAGATGTTGTTGATGTTCAGAGAGCAGTCAGACCCCAGAATCAGTCTCTCATGACTCTCTGTGTCTTTCTTCTTTATCCCTAAACCAATCAGTTCAGCTGCTGCTGAATCTCTTAATCTGTTGTAGTTCCATGTAGTTGAGTTACAGTCATGAAGAGCATTATTACAGAGCAGATGGACATTTTCACCAGAACTGATGAACACATGAGTCACATCCTCTTCACTGGTACCTGAAACACAAGACCATATGACTGATTATTATACTATATATTAATAAATTAAGACATAAAACATACCAGTATAAAAAAAACCGGACGATTATTTTTTTTCCTCAGTGAATACAAACAACACACTCTCCAGAATAAAATATTGTTCTTCATCAGAGATCTGTTCAAATCACAAACACACTCTCAATATGAAAATAATTCAGCATCAGATGTTTGAGTGTGAAACTGTCCAGTTTTAGTGCGTTCAGGAATAATCCAGTATGTTCTGTGTGAAATACAAGAAACTGATCATGTTCAAATGAACTCTTTCTCAGACTAATTCCACTGAATGTCTTGTAGAGAAAACACAGATTTCTTTACCTGTGAGAAGTGAAGAGAGAAAGATCAGTCCCAGCAGACACAGATGACACTCATCAGCCATTTTCTCTTTCTCTCAGTCTTCCTCTTCATTATATGCTCTCAGCTCTTTCTTTAAATACTATCAGCTCCTCCTGTGTTTCTTCACTTCCTCTCATCTACAGACTGAGTGTTGAAATGTTGCTAAATGATATAGTGTCATACTGGAGAAGTCTTGCTTCACATTTCTCTTGTAAATATTGATGAAACTATTTCAAATGAACAGCTGGCATCTTTTTTTTTTTGTCTCTGCGCAATAAAATCTAATTTTGACTTCTGGAAGTCATTATTTCTGATTCTTCTGAGAGCGAACTGAGTTTCTCCACGACAATATCCACTCAAATTCAAGTAGATTTCAGTACATATATTTATTTTCGTTGATGCTTAAATATAAAGTACAGTACACTTATACTGTAATAGGAACAGTCCCTCACTTGTGGTTGATGTTCAGTGATAACAGTTCAGGCAGTTTTAATCTACAGTCATTCTGTAAACACCTCAACAGGTTAAATCTTCCCTCGAGAGCCGCGCTGACTGACGCCGGTGTTGTGTTGAACTCAGTTCCTCCTGTGTTTTCTATAAACTGTCTGACCATAACCATAACCACTAACATGGAGAAACACAGGGGAACAGACTTTGACACGACAGCCGTTGTGAAACATGTTCTTCAGTGTGAGATCTGCATACTGTCAGCCACACATTTGCTCTGAACACAATCTATAGGCTATTCTTTGCATTACTGTCAGTTTCACTTCTTTCTATGAGTCTGCAGGTCTGAGTCAAGTTTGGCGAAGCATTAAAGCTCTAGGCGGAGTCAATTACTCTCTTGTGATAATAATTAATAGTAACGTTTAATATACCCGTAATAAAGAAGAATCAGAGAAACATCAACAAATGCAGTATTTCCACTTTTATCCAAAGAGACGGAACTTGCACTGCATTTATTAATGGGGTATACAATATCCATTCAATGTTATAGCCTAGAAATATGTGTTCGACTTGAAGCGGCGCTGCGCAGACCGATCGGTGAATGACATCAAAGTACCGCGAGCTCGAACATACCTGATCTGTCAGCATAGACCTATAGCTCACATTAAAGGGGTCGCTTACGAGTCGCAGCAGCAAAAAATATGTGGCCAGCAACATATTCCTGCTTCAAATGTTATGCGCAGTTAACAGTGAGTTAAGTGAAGCTTGTTCTTGTACACAGATATGGCCTATTCATATCAGTACAAATTAAATTCATGCATTTATTTGTCATTTAAACTGATGTCAACAGAGAAAAAAAATTGCAGGCTGAAAATATTTATTATCCTGTTGCCCCCTCTAGTGGACAGCATTAAGTATTACGGCCTTCATTGCTCCGATAACGCAAGTCAATGAGATTTAAACAGTCTAACCAGTTAGAAAAGAGTCAGACCAGTCTGAAGGCCTCTGTGTCGAACGTCACATCACTAATTAATAGTAATGTTTAAATATAAGTTGGCTTGCAAGCCAACATAATAAAGAGAAACATCAACCAATTTAGCATGTAATTTAACTAATAAAACTTTAAGATATGCCGTACACTCAAACCACAGGGACTAATTGTCCCAAACCCTTCTAGTTGTTGTCAGTTTTAAGGTTACGTTCACTGATTCTAGCTTATGTCATTCTTTTCATGTGAACAGAGAGGGCTACACGCTTACATTCATAAATTTAAACTTTATTTCTATTTAATGTCCACAATTAGGTCTATTTATTCATGTGCCACACACACCTAGTGCCTTTTGATCTAAATAAAAGACAAGAGTTGGGATATGTTACAGAAATATTATTGTGGTACTGTTCAGCCTATTATTGTTTAGTTTTTTTACTTCCACTTCACTTTTATCCAAAGAACTATTTGCACTGCATTTATCAATGGGACACACGACAGTCATACAATGGTATATGTCAGCATAAAGTAGCCTATAGTTCACTTGCAAGTCGCAGCAGCATAAATTATGTACGTGCCTAGCAACATATTCCTGCTTCAAATGTTATGCGTAGTTAACAGTGAGTGGTGGTTTCATACAATATTTTATTAAAGAGCAATATTCAGCGCCGCACTCGTACTGACGCTTATTCTGTCTGACAGAATTAAAAACTCGTACTGAAGGCAGAGTGATTTGACCAATCAGATGAAGGGGGCGTTTCAGCGCCGGCCACGTGTGCGAATGAAATATCGAAACTAGTGATGGCAAAATGAGGCTTCCTGAACCACTGAGGCTTCGCAGCCCATTGCTTCACCAAAAGGTTCATTACCCCAAGATTCATTCAGCATTGCTCACTAGTGACACCTAGCTACTGTGCAAATAAATAGCTGACAAATCAGTTAATCCTGAGGCAATGACCCGAGCAGACATTTGTACATTGCCTGGGTATAAAATATAATATATATCTTTCTCTGTCTAATTTTACTTGTTCAGAGACAACAGTCAGAAACACATTCATTGTCTGGATAATGACAGTATGAACAACAAAAGTGAGACTGTGTTGGTTGCAGTGCTTATGAGGGAAGAAATGTAATACAACAAACTGCTACAGAGCAGAATATTGTTGATTTTTATTGAGGAACAGACGTTTTTGAAGTGTGTTGGGGTTTAGACGATTCCTCTTCTTGGATAAAACCTCTCCAGCTTTGGAAAATGTCCTTTCACAAGGAACAGAGGTTGCAGGGGAACATAAAAATACCAATGCCAGCTGGTGTAAGTGAGGATACTGATGCTTCTGTTGAGCCCAATATACTAGTGGATCCTCAGATCTTGCAAGATTCACTTCTGATAAATACCGGTCCATTTCAACAGTAGCATCTGCAGTTGCACTTGAGCTCCTTCTACTGTTATCACCCGTGCTATCCAGCAGATGCCAAAAGTCACCTAATAATAATAATGATACAAAGAAACAAAAAATCCATTAACAATGGTTGACAGTTCTAATCACTAATGTGAAAATTCACACAACAAAAGAATATACTACTTACTGTTGTTTGTAGATTGACCTGCTTCTGAAGAGGCTGGCAGCTGAGCTGGGGGTGTATTGGTGGAAGCAGAATAGAGACCACAACTTCTGATTACAGTAGTGCATTCGGATTTTAATCTTGATATCGCTTCTTGCAGTTTTCCTAGACTAAAAAAAACAAGTTTTTTTAAATCTGGGATCCAATAACATGGGTATGGTCATCACACTTGATTCTAAATGCACTGCATTCTCCCTGACCCTCTGGACCAGGCTGTCACCCAGGTGCTTTGCTAAATTGGACTTAAGGCCTTCTAACTTACCGGTTACATAATGACTAAGCATCTTCATGATAGGTTTCACTTTGGAGGCAGACACTCTTTTCTCCCCAGAAAGCTCTACCGTATCCTGGTGGAACGGGGCAATGACATGTAAAGCATCTTGGACTGCCTCATACTCCAGGGCAGTAGGAGGGGTGTTGTCGGCCCTTAGAGAGGCCAGGGCTGCCCCCACTGGCTCTCTCAGCTGAAAGAGCCGTTCCAGCATATTGTAAGTGCTGTTCCAGCAAGTGTCCACTTCGATGATCAACTTCAGAACTGGTCTCCCCATCGGATCTTGTATTTGGGCCAGTCTCTCTTTTGCTGTAGTGCTGGTTCGGAAATAGGTAACAAGTTTCCTACATTTAGATCGAATTTCGTTGAAGCTACTGATGTCGTCAAAAGATTTCCTCACAATAAGATTCAGTGCATGTGCAATGCATATTGCATGCCTAACATTTAATGATCGTACACATGCTACCATATTGGCTGCAGCATCAGTTACCAGACACTTCACTTTATCTTTTATTCCCCATTCCTCCATGAGCTTGATATGTCCAGCAGCCAAGTTCTCAGCAGTATGGCTCTTAGGGAAATGCTCAACACCTACTAAAAGAGTGCAGAGCTTGTCATTGTCGTCTATAAAATGGCAAGTTACTGCTAGGTAGGCATCCATGTTTAGGGATGTCCACATGTCAGAGGTAAGCGTTACAGCCGTAACTTTCCACAACTGCTCTCTGGCCTTCTCCTTAGCCTCCTTGTATTTACGATCAACCATGGCCTTCATAGTCTGTGGATGAAAACTAAATGCAGTTACTCTTAATTTTAACTCTTTAAATAATAATGAACCACTTCATTCATCACATACCTTTCGAGTTGGGATAACATAAGTGGGATCCAACACATGCAGGAGCTCCCTAAACCCAACATCTTCCACAATGGAAAAGGGTTGGGAGTCCTTGATGACCATGTTCACCAGGGCCTCATTCACCATTTCTTGTTTTGAATCTATAATATAATACAATGCTATTGTATTGTAGTAACACATGATTTCAATAAAGGAAAACAAAAGATAATCTATTACGTTGACTAGTGTGTGGATTGTTACTAGTTTGTGCATGCTCATGCAGTGCTCGATAATGCCTGAGCATGGAGGAGGTGTTATTACTGTATGTCAGCTCCTTCAGGCACAGCAAACATTTCACCTTGAAACATGAAATAATAGACATGACAGATTATACAGTTGTGGTGATGCGATTAACCATCTTAGTTATTGGGGATGAAATGGTATGTTCCACAGGTATAAAAGGAGATGAGACTGACATCTAACTAAACGCGTCATTCGGGGTCTCGGAAGTGACGTGATTTCTTGGTGCGCCGTGATTATGTTCAGGAGGTAAGAGCTACTGGTGGCAGTTGAATTATGAACATTCTATGTCAAAAAGGGTAATTTGAGACTCGTTTAAGTTACAGGGTGGCTGAGGAGTAATACAGACACGTTGAGCGAATGTTTATCTTTGTGAGCCTTTAACTTGAACGCCATCGAGTGCATTGGGTGGTGTGAGTCATTATCCGCAGGTATGTTAATTATTTCATGCCTGGGTTAACGATATGGTAATTTCTCCTTTTTAAATCTAAAGTCTCTTATGTTTTAATAGTGACATGGAGCCAGGAGGTGTTGTAGCAGGCTTTGTGGGCGCTGTTAGGCTTTGTGACCATTCTTGAGCGA